GAGCTAAAGAAGGGAGGAGGGGGAGGCAGGGAGGCACCAGCACACTCCTTCTCCGGGTCCCACCTGCGTGACCCTTAGCGTGAGGCCCCCTTAAAGCCTGTACTTTCCATGTTGCACCCCAGGCTCAGACCTGCTTCTGACTCCGACCCCGAGACTCCCTCTATGTCAGAAACACTAATGGTAACGAGATGTGCTCCTAATTGCAGAACAGAGTGCACTGCAGAGGCGCTGGGATGACCCGAGTGCCTCCTGTGGCCCTGCCTCTCGAGTCCATTTGGTCCAGCGCCCTTCTCCCACGGAAGAGCCCTCCCTTCCCCTAAACTAGCTAATACTCTGGGGAAATGAGCGGAGGGCCAGGCCGTAGGCTGGGTCAGCAATCGGGCCAGGCCCTGAATCTGCCCCTCGTCCAGCGCCGACCATGGCTGAGCTCCTTAGAAAGGCTGCCCTTCAGCCCCTGCGCCTCAGCCGGCTCTGCTGCGCCTAATGGATTTCCTGGCCTCTCACATGCCCGGACGGCTGGGCCTGCACGTCTGTGAGCTGTTGACGGACGGGCTGACAGACCTCTGGGAGTGACCCACCGTCACCACATCCAGGACTAAAAACTATCAGCACGGGGCCCAGCCCCAGACACTGCCCCCTGCTGGAATCAGAGCAGAACTGCTCCCTGGGCCACAGTGGAGGACAGGCTGCAGCCACACCCTGCTCCTGCGCCCCAGGCCCCGCTAACCTTCCTGTCCCCTCACTGCCAGGACTCCCGCACGACCTTAACAGACGGGCCTTCAGTCTGTACAGGATCGCCAAGTCCTCTGAGAACACTGCCCTGCAGGCTGGCACGCCGCGGATTTAGGAAGAAATGACAGACACCCTCGCCCCCCTCCCTTCACAGTGAGCTCCCCACAGAGCTCCCTCCCAGGCCAGGAGGCCACACACATGCTGGGCATCACCGTGCCAGCCCACACAGGAGAGCCAGGGGGCATCCGACGTCACGCAGACGCAGGCTCCGCCTCGGCTACGGGCAAGGTCTTTCAGGACACGGTTACACTTCTCCTGCTAAGTGACAGGAGCACCAGGGGTCACACGCAGACACAGGTGCAGGGGCCACTCGTCAAATGAGCAGCTCCACGGGGAGTCCGGGGGCTTCCCAAGGCCTGACAAGGTGAACTCAGATCAGTGAGGACGCAGCTCATTTTATTTAAGTAAATCTGTCATCTTTTATCAGAAGGAGTGGCCGGATAAGGGGCCTCGCAGAGAATGAGCGAGACTCCGAGTGGGTGAGTCGAGGGTGCACATCCTGGCTCCTGGGGCAAGGCTCTTACTTCCTTTGAGCTTTACTTTTCTCACCAGTAAAACAGGGATAACAGCACCTACTTTTACTGTAATATTTTATTTCCAATGCAGTTGACCTACAATATTATAGATTCAGATCCCGACACAGTGTGAGACATTTACGTTCCTATGAAGCGTCCCCCTGATAAGTCAGTACCCATTGATGGACAAGGGTAGTGTCAGAACCAGATGCGATCACATGTCTATGGCCTTCCAGCCAGTGCCTGGCTACTCCACATGGGACTCCCTTTCCCTGCAAGCCTCCTCTTCCATGTGGGCGGTCTCACGGCTGACCCATGTGGCTGGCCCTAGCGTGGTCCTCTAACGCCGCAGCACGGGCAGCCTTGGGAGCCATCTGGAGAGGCAGGAGGCCTTTCGAGGCCGTCCCTGGGCTGCCCGGCATCGTCAGGAACACAGACCTTCAGTGCCGAAGGGAGTCCATCTGAACCACCACCGTCACCGGGAGGCTCAGGTGTCTCGCTCTCTCTTGGCATCATCAGGATGGTCTTTCTCTCTCCTGATCCTGTCCTCCCTCTGCCCGCCTGGCTGGTCAGCATGTATGCTGCTGTGGACAGGAACCAAGGAGCAGCTAAAATGTGCTTTGCCACTGGAGGCATGTCCAGACTGACAGGGCGGGAGGAAAGAAGTAAAACCCAGGTGGGGTGTAGGACGAGGGGGTGGGCAGATTAACTGGCACAGCGCTCGGGGCCTGAGACGGCCCACGGGCCACTGTCTGCTTGGCCTGGTGCTGCACGTGGCCATCAGGGCCCAGCACTCCAGCTCAGGGCTTCGCTTCCTGTAAAACACACGTCCTCGAGGAAGCTAGCTTGCCCGTCGAGAGACGCCACGGGACCCAGAGATCTGGGAGTGGGTTAGAGCAAGGCTGACTCTGTATGCCTACGCTTCCCCTGCCCGCCCTGGACCGGCCACGCACATGCTACAGTGCTAGGGGGCGCCGTGGGAGGGGCCGGCCATAGGAAGATGGCTGTGTTTATGAAGGCTCATTCCAGGCCCAGGCAGCAGCCCCTGAAGGCGCAAACACTGCGTCAGGGTTTTACACGTCCCACCTGCGGCTGAGCATGGGTCGCACTGCAGTCCACGGACCGTCCTAGACATTCTGAGCTGCTGACAGATGGGGCTGGCCTTGCCAGGACTCACAGGCCTCGGTTTGTGCACATGTTCTTATAAGGAAGTGGACTCGGCGAGCATTCGCTCACATCCAGCAGATGGGGGTGGGTGGGGGGAGCTGGTACTGAGCTCCCAGGACGCTCCGCTGCACTCAGGGAGGGCTCCACCCTTTCACTGTGTCTGTGCTGTCACCCGTGCTGACGAGAGCTCAACAAGGCCAAGCCAGGAGACCCGTGCCCTGAGAGGGCCCTGTGAGCTCAGCCCTGAAATGCACTTTGCTTCTGGTCGGCCTGGGGCCAGGGCACCCACAGGCGGCCCTTAGCCATTTCCCCTCCCCCGAGCGATCAGACTTCGTTAGGAGTAAGTTTGATTTGTATGAATTTGAATTAACAGCCTGCAATGTGGCACCGTCACTGAGCAACCGGAAGGGGCGCAGCCACAGCCACGGGCAGGGTCCCAGGCGTCTCCTGCAGGGACCCCTGGTTGGGTTCCTGGCTGGTGGGCAAGTCCCGGGAGAGGAGCCTGAGCAGCTGGCGGAGGTGGGGCCGTGGCTGTGTAAGCTGGGAAGGAAGTGTTCTACTGCTGTAAAGAGCAGGTGTCGGCTCCGCGTCTGGGTGACGCTCAGTCCAGTCCTGCTGGGGGTCAGGGTGAAGGTCGGGCATAGGGCATGGGGGAAGGGAGGAAGCACAGAAGATGGGAGCCTCTGTAACCTTTGCCTTTTTTAAGCATTTTTTAAAGATAATTTTTATTGATTTTTAGAGAGAGAGAGGGAGAGAGGAACATTGATGTGAGAGTGAAACATCAATCGGCTGCCTCATGCATAACTTCTAACAGGGATTGAGCCCACAAAATGGGCGTGTGCCCTGACTGGGAATCGAACCGGCGACCTTTCAATGCATGGGAGGACGCCCAAGCAACTGAGCCGCACCAGCCAGGCTGTGCCCTTTGCCTTTTTGACCAGACCATATTAAAACCCAACTTACTGGATCGATAAGTTCAGAATAAAGAAATCCTAATAGGAACAAAACTCACCCTAGCCAGTTTAGCTCAGTGGACAGAGCGTTGGCCTCCAGACCAAAGGGTCCTGGGTTCAATTCTGGTCAAGGGCATGGACCTTGGTTGCAGGCTCCTCCCCAGCCCGGGGCCCTGGTCAGGGCTTGTGAAGGAGGCAACCAATTGATGTATTTCTCTCACATCGATGTTTCTCTGTCTCTCCCTCTCTCTTCACTCTTCCTAAAAATCAATGGAAAAATCCTAGGGTGAGGAGTAACAAAAAAAAAGGAACAAAACTCCCCCCAAGCCGAGTTCTTCCTGAGCCTGGGCTGGCAGGCCTGCCACACAGACCTGAGATGTTCACAGGTTTCTGGTCTAACTCCAGCGAATCCAGCGCAATCCTCCCACGGCTGCCTGAGACCCTCCCCTCCAGGCAACGCCGGCCCCGATTTCCACTCAGAACACATACCCTGCGCCTGGGGACAGGCGAGCATGAAATGCACTTCACTAGGAGCTGAAAAGCATGGAGGGCGAGTTAATTTTCGAAGAAGAAAGCCGGCGGCGCGGCACGGGAGAGCGGATTCGCCTCTGCGGGGCCGACATTGATTTTCCCGAGGGGAGAACCACCAGATGAGCTGGCAGTTGAAAACATGATCTCCGACTTCCCCCCCTCTCCCCTCAGATCTTACATTTCATTTTAAGACCAGGAAACAACATGAGATTAAAAGCCTCACCCAGAAGCAGAAGTGGAAAGGAGGGTTCCGGAGTTTCTTTGCTCAGAGAACACACTTATCAAAGGCTTCTCATAACTCAATGCGAATGATAGGTGGGGCGAGGGGCGGGGCTTCCCTTGCTTGGTTCTTGCTGGACAGAGGCAGCCTGAGACTCAGGGGGGACAGAAACCCCCCACTTCCGGTCACCAGCAGGGCCGCCCTGGACCCAGCCTTGCAGACACCCAGGTCCTGCCCTGCTTCCCTGGCTGGTGAGCTGGGCACAGGCCTGGGCCAGAAGCAGAAGCCACACGTCCTTTGGGGGAGGGGCGGACAAGCAGGAGAAATCACTCAGGCAGGAAACGTGCTGCCACCTAGAAGGTGACCTTGGGCAGGGCACGCAGCTCTGAGCCACACTCGCACGGTTCTACACGGAGGCCACAGCTCTGCTCTTTACAGAGGGGCAAGCTAAGCTCAGGCACTCTGATGCCTGACATCCCAGAACACAATTCAGTAGGCCTTAAGAAAGAAAAAAAAAGCAAAGCTGATAAATATGGAATTGGGAATGAGATTGCGGACGGGGCTCAGGCAGGTGGAGGGTCTGACAAGCTAAGCCTCATCAGCGCCATAGGAAATCCACGTTTGCACACCTGCCTATGTCAAATGAGATCAGAGGTGAGTATACAAAAGTGCTTTGCAAATTTAAGGCATATATAAAAGTAAGGCATATGGCACTGAACTGCGTAAATATATAGCACCTACTGTGTGCCCCAAATCTCCCAGACACAGCTGTGAACAGGACATGTTCTCCGCTCACTCTCCGGCCCTCCAGCCGCCATCTCTGGAGGAGTGAGCCCTGAGTCCTGCTGCAGGTGGAGCTCACCACAGGGATGGCCCCACTGCTCACCTGCGCCCGCCCTTGGGGCTCTCCAAGGTCCTGATGCCCAGCCCTGGCTCTCAGGACCCCAGTGCTCTCCAGTCTCTACCTCTGCTCCCCTCCTTCCTGTCCGCTGTCTTCTTACCAACTCCATTCAGAAACCCCCAGAGCGACAGGCAGCCTCTTTCTTTTTTTTAATCCTCACCCAACGGTATTTTTCCGCTGATTTTTAGAGAGAGTGGAAGAGAGAAGGAAAGACAGAGAACTATCAATGTGAGAGAAACACATGGACTGGATACCTCCTGTACAAGCCCCGACCAGGGCCCGGGCAGGGAGGAGCCTGCAGCTGAGGTGCATGCCCTTGATCAGAATTGAACCCGGGACCCTTTGGTCCACAGATTGACGCTCTATCCACTGAGCCAACCCGGCCAGGGTAAGCCAGGCTTTCTAATCGCTCATTTTCAAAAATGAATGGACAGTGGCTGCCTAGGGCAGGGGTGGGGGTGGGGATGGATGAAAAGATTAGGGGATAACAGCTAAGGGACTGTTCTCTGAGGAGAATATGATAAAGAGGCTCTGAAATTAATTGTGATACTTGTACAACTCTGAATATACTAAAGCCACTGAATTGCAAACTTTAAAAGGGTAAATTATGTGGTGTGTGAATTATATCTGAATAAAGTTGTTAGATAATGTGGACAACCAAAAATCATCGAGAGATGCTTCAAGAGAAATTTATAGCGAGAAAAATACTAGAATAAACTGAAAAAATGAACTTAAAGGAAACCCAGTTCATTCAAAAAATGGAAGAGAATTTTTTAAAAGACTAATTATCCATAGAGAGATTTGAGATGTGTCCAAAAAATAGGACTAGGGAGAAAAAAAAGGCATCATTCAAGAAGGAGTTCTTGTAAATTTAAAAACTAAAAATTTGCTGAAATACAAAAATTCGATTAAAGATCTAGAAGATAAAGGATAACTAACGCTCAGAACTTAGAGCTAAAGGCCCAAGACATTGGAAACAGACGTTTAACATCTGACCACCCCAACTTTCAGAATCAAAGAACAGAGAAAATCAAATTAAAAGGGGGGAAATAAAGAAAAATTCCCCCCCGAGATGAAAGAAGACCAGAGCCTTTCTAATGAAAGGGTCTGGCATGAATAAAAAAGCACCTATGTGGGGACACAGCGCTGTGAACTCTCAGAATATCAAAGTGAGGAAGAGGGCCTGACCACAGAAAGATAAAATGGGGGATCGACAAAGAAACCCCAGTCCCACTGGCATCAGCAACAATGGGTCTCGGAAGACAGGGTCCCAGGCTTCTAAATCGTCGTTGGAAATGATTTGAATTGAGACTTTTATACCCCAGGTCTCCATCAAGAACGAGCGAACTAAATCTCCATCTAATGAAGTGGAACATCATCTGTCTGAAGTTGATGTTGGAACATAAATGTCAGCATATTGTTTGAAGTTGCACAGGAAGCCATTCAAACAATTAAACAATCAGTATTATTTTTAATGGAAAGGGAGACGAGGGATAGAGAAAAGCGGATAGATGAGCTAAATATGTTTTATAGTTAGGAGTAGGTCATTTTATTAGGTGATATAGAAGAAACACATATCTGAAAATACTTAGAGATATAAAAGTAACGACTGGAAGTACGGAACACAGAAATGGTTTTTAAAAGTTGCTGCCGGAAGCAGGCCTGGAAGTGAGGAGGGTGCTTTTCATTTTAAGAATGAGACGCAGGTTTTTTCAAGTTTTAAAAACAATAGTGTAGTCAAGGCCTGGGGAGCGGGGCGGAGGGGGGTCCATGGGGAGGGGGGACATCTGTAATACTTTCAACAATAAAGATAACATTTTAAAAATAAGGAAAGGCTCATACAGCAGGAAAAACCTCTGATTGACGGGGCTTCTCAACAGGACAGAAGCCGAGAGAGCCCCGCCCGACGCCCAGCTCCCCGAGGGAGGCTCACTCCTCCGCGGGGCGGCTCTTACAGTTGTTTGGGAAATTAATTTACTGAAAACTCTGAGCAGTTTGGCAGAAAAGAGACCAGTTTAACCTCGTTGGAAAGCAAGTCAATTCATTGAAAGATCAATTTGATAAATTATTTGATTTTAATAAATTTACCACCTTTTTTCCTTCAAGACTTACTACTCGTGATGGAGACGTTTCCGAAGCGCCAACAGGAAGGTGCAAGTGGCAGAAAACATTAAATGTGCCGACAGCCGGCAAAGCATCAAGTGGGTCGTTTGCCACACGTGAGGCTGGTTAGGCCGCCTCTGGTTCCTTGTGGATGCTTCTGAATGTTCTTTTTAAACTTCACTTAAAATATCAAAATTTAGGTTTTTCCTTCCATAATTCCTCCAGTGGCCCATCAGCATTAATTTAGTATTTCTAGCAATTAAACATTTAAATGAAATGCAAATTCAAAAGCATCCCAAAGATATCAAAATTTTAAAGTAATTTAAATTTAATTTAAATTCCAAATTCCAAATTAAAGCTCTTTAGGAATTGGTGAAAGAACATTCAAATGATTAAATGAAAAAAAAGCATAGAAATCAAATGTAGCTGAAACCAGCTCATCACAATGAAATGTGAATCCTTTATACACTAGTATATTGATATATCTATCTCAAGATACATATTCTCTTACTCCACTGCCTACTACGTTATAAAAAAAAATTACCAGCTCTGAAAGCTGTACTCATGCCTCAGGACCAGGCAGAAGGAGGGAAGGGTGTGTACCATCCGTAACTTAAGGATAGAGAAGGGACCGAGAATTAGAGTGGAGCTGGCTTGTTTTTGTGGTTGAAACAGAAGAGGCTTTAGAGCAGCGGTTCTCAACCTGTGGGTCACGACCCCTTTGGGGGTCAAATGACCCTTTCACAGGGGTCGCCTAAGACCATCAGAAAACATATAATTACATATTGCTTTTGTGATTAATCACTATGCTTTAATTATGTTCCATTTGTAACAATGAAATTGGGGTCACCACAACATGAGGAACTGTATTAAAGGGTCGCGGCATTAGGAAGGTTGAGAACCACTACTTTAGAGGTTTTGAAACCCAGAATCTCAGCCAGAAGGGACAGTAAGACTCATTTGGACAATCCTCCCACCCAATAAAATAATAATTTTTATGAACTCCAATAAATGGTCACGTATTGCGTAAATACTTTCAACGATGGGGAATTCACTACTCTTCAAAGCGGAATGGTCCATTTTCAGGTACTTGATTTGCTATAACGTCTCTTCCTAATATGCTGGCCTGGACTGTGTCTTCCTTCTTATTCCAAGTCATACCTCCCGTTCCTCCTCTAGCCATGAGGAAGGGTCTACTCCTGTCCAACACCACAGCCCCAAGACTGGAAAACTTGCTGCAGGTCCCCTTCCCCTTCACAAAGTCTTTTCCACTCATCACCAGCCATTGCTCATGTAACGGGGCCACCAGATTCCTCTCCTCCTGGTTGGTCACTCTCAGCTAGAAACGCTCTAGACATCGTGTGAAGGACACGTGTACCCAACCCCTTGATGTGGACACTATACTGAAAATAACGGAAGTTGTGTTGGCTTTCTCGGCCACCACATGGCACTCATCTACCTCGCCCCCCCCCCCCATATGTGTCAGTTAGGATTCTTTACGTTGTATGAGCCAAGAAATCGAATTTGAATTGGCCGACAAAACGTGGCATTGACCAGCCGGAGTGTTCATGTCCCTCAACAGCACAGGGTGAGCTTGGATTCAAGCGATGCTTGAATGTGGCCAGAATCTCCCCGTTCCTCACCTCTGCTTTCCAGTCTGGTCTCTCAGCCTCAATCGGGAGCCACGGGAAAGGAGAAGGGAAGTCTGCTTTCTCAGTATCTCAGATGCAAGTCCAGGAGCGGACCATCACTGGCCCCACGGGTCTGACGGCTCAGGTGGCCAGGAAAACGCCATTCTCTAGCTGGAGCTAATCAGGGACCACCCTGTGGTCCATCCCAGACACACTCATGGCCAGGACATTGAGGTTCTTTTAGGAAAGACAATGGAGGAATTAACGCTAATGGAGCGACCATCTTGTTGATATCAACCAAATGTTTCCAGTTAAGGAGAAAACTTGGCAGTTTGATGTAGTCCCATAAAGTATTAGTCCTCTCAGCGTTGCATCCCTGAAAATTTGAAATACATAACTTCCATGTATCTACCTCATTAAGTCTTTGGTAAAAATGCTGACCTAGAACTCAAAAAAACGGAACTCTGTGGCATCAGACCTTCTATAAGTCCCCGAAGGAGGCCATCGCTCCGTTAATGGGCAGGCTAGAAGGAGCCGTTTAGAGTATGAATGAGCCTCACCAGCCCCACGCCCCCCTCAGCAGGAAGCGCACCAGGAGGCAGGGTCAGTCCCCGGCTGAAGCCGGGTGCACTCCCTCGGCAGCACTTGCCATGATGCAGCCTCTGACCTCGCTCCTCAGTGCTGAAGCCGGAACAGGGCACATCCACCGGGACCGAAGCTCCTTCACGGAACGTGTCACCTGCGCCAGGTACCCGGTCCTCACGCACCTGCTCCACCTCAGGGAGCGCCTCCCAGCCGTGCACCCATCGTCCTCCTCAGCCCTGGACTTCGTCCTAACCAGCGCTGTGCTCTGCCTGAGTGGGCCCCACTGCTCCCTCTGAAGTTCTAGGACCTGCCCTTGTGGAATGGACTCCAGGTGTCCGCCCTGATGGGGCCCCGATGGCCCAGGGCTGCGGGACCGTCCTCTCCTGTCTTCGCTGCCTTCCCATCGTTTTCCTTCTGAAATTCTCACTACACTCGTTCTGAGTGGAGCGGTGCAGTGGGCATCGATCTTTCTGGTTTGTCCAGCATCTCCCCTCCCCGAGCTTCTGTCCTGTCCCAAACCTGGGCTTGTGGTGGGACTGCGAGCATGCATCTCCCCTGGGCCAGGCAGGGTGGACGTGAGGCCCAGAGAAGCAAAGATACCCGTCTAACACGCACACTCCTAACCGGGCGCTCGGGGGAACGGAGCCTTGTCACAGAGCTGGAAACTGTGGACGGAGGCTGCTGGGAGGCACCCCTCCACATTGTGGGGGAGGCTGTCCGTGTGGGAACAGACGGGGCAGTGTAGACGGGGCGGTGCAGACGGGGCAGTGTAGACGGCGCAGTGTAGACGGGGCGGTGTAGAGGAATGAGCAGGGCAGGGAGGGGCTGATGCCGGGCCGTGGGTCCGGGCAGAGAAAGTGCACGAGCCAGAATGGCAGGTGTCCGAGGCCCCAATGGGAAACCACGGGTAACTACACCTGTGACAGGTGCCACGGCAGAGGGGATGCCCTCTGGGCTTGGGGCCCTGAGCTCACGTGTGCGCCCCGAGAACAAGACCTTCCAGGCCAGAGCGCTGCCTTCCAGGGTCTACAGTCATGGAAGGTCAGTGCAGGGATGGCCCCTGGGACGGGTGCTCCAGGAAGGAGGAGTCGGGAGGCCATGCGTGGGCTGGAGGCTACGGGCTGAGTGTCCCTCGAGCCCGTGTGTGGAAGCCTTCACCCCAGCACCTAGGAATGTGGATGTTTTAGAGACAGGCCTCCAAGGAGGGAATGGTGTTCAGTGTGGTCCTCGCGCTGGCCCCAATAGGACTGGTGTCCTTGTAAGAAGACACGTGGAGGCACAGGAAACACCCCGTGAGGGCACAGCCAGGCAGCGGCGGCCGTGCAAGCCCAGGGGAGGGGCCTCAAAGGAGCCAAACGTGCTGGCACCTTGGTCTCAGCTCCCAGCCTCCAGAACCGGCGGTCAGAGCATGAGGCCTAGAGCCACCTGGAGATTCCAGCTTTACGCAGGGACTGCAGGAAACCAGGCTCCAGCGCCTCCGTGGGGCTTCAAGGCAGTCGATTAAAGAATGAACTCTTAACTCAACCCGTGAGCCCCAGGAGGGTCGCCGGCTCCAGCCGCACAGTGTGTGGTGCTAACCATAGGGCTGTCTGACACTGTAAACACGAAGGGAAATGCAGGGCAGGTCTACCAACCATGGAGTCGTCCTGAGACGACACACTGTGCGTCCCTTATGCAGAACGAGGCGGACGCCGAGGACCTGCTTTGGACAGACGTCCACATTTGCTGTCAGGTGCAGAGGGGACAGAGAGTGGCCCTTCTTCTTCCTGTCTGCCCACTAAGGAGAAGTCTCGTCTTCTCCTCCCATCGCCCCCCGCCCCCCCCCACTAGGCATATTTAACAGACGAGACCTGGGACTGAGTGTCTCCCCAGGGCAGACAAGAAGGGAGACAGGAGGGAAAGGAAAGGAGGAGGAAGTGGGAGAGCCCATGGGAACAGTTTTGAGCATAAAGAGTTGAGAGTGAGGGAAGGTGAGTCTCTGAGGGGGTGAGGGTAGCTGGGAAAACAGTAAAAGAGAACGGAGACGGTAAAGGACTATGGAGTGTAGTTTGGATGGAAGTGGGTGATGTTCCCTGAAATCTCCAGGAAAGAAGCTTACCATGCCTATCTTCAGGGCGTGGGACAGGAGACTGAAAGATTCGGGTGGTTTTTACCTTTGTGTTCTTTGTGAAAATGTCCTTTTTAAAGAAAATATGTTTTCACTGATTTCAGAGAGAGCGGGAGAGAGAGATAGAAACATCAATGATGAGAGAGGATCATGGATCGGCTGCCTCCTGCACGCCCCACACTGGGGATTGAGCTTGCAACCCGGGCATGTGCCTGACCGGGAATAGAACTGTGACCTCTTGGTTCATAGGTCAATGCTCAACCACTGAGCCACACTGGCCAGGCATAAATATTCTTTCCTAGAAGCGTATACTATTCTTACAACGAGAATTAAGCTAATAGAACGTCATGAAAATACTGAAAGTCCCCCTGACAGCCTAAAAAAGGCTCGGAAAGAAAATAAACTTAAATTTGTATTCAACATAATTTAAATCAACTTTAAAACTATGTTCCATTTTATTTATGTATTTCTTTCCCTTTCTAAATGTATAGCCTACCTCTGTGACATCACGGGCCACAGGTGACCTCACCGCAATCTGTACTCCTGCCTGAGCAGGAACATGCTGCCAGGTTCTCAACCACCGACAGGCAAACTAACGTGGAACTCAGTTCATCCTGTGGTTAAGATCTGACTGAATATAAACTAGAAATAAAATATATGCAATATTTTAAATACTTTCACTCCGCTTACCGTTTATAATGATAAGGGGCAGAAGGCTATGCATACGTAACCACAGATACGCACACAGAAGAAATGTTATGAGCTAAAGACGGCACATTTCCTTGTGCGTGAATGAATTCCCACCTGCTTTATGAAACAAAGAACTCGGGATAGTGCTGCGTCATAAAAGAACTTCTCCTGAGTGAAAGATGACGGCGGAGCCAGGGAGCTGGGGCAGCAGGGGCTTTGGATGAAACTGGAACGTGGACACCGTCTCCTCCAAGGTCAGCGTCACAGTGTGGCCAAGGTCAGGAGCGATGAAGTCATCACCTGACCTCACTGGTTGTTCAAACGGGGCATTAACACTGCAAACCTGTCGGTGCAGGTGGCAATCCGGTCACCGCTGGGTAGCTCATGCCCAGGTAACTGCCCGTGTCCCTGGCTAACGGTGGCTGAGAGGCCCCGAGCGTTTGCAGGGGACCACGTGGAAGGCCCACAGCGCGAATCCCCTCGTGGCCCTGGGGCGAAGGCCCTGCCCCCTCCCAGACCCCCGCCTCTCATTCTAAGTCTGTGAAAGGGCTCACAGGGCATCGGAGCCATCTGTTCCTCAGTGTCACTTGTGTCGGCGATAAAGGGAAAAGGCGTAAAGTGTGACAGCACCACCCTCTCGCTTCTCGTCATGTGGCTGGTTCAGGATGAGCGTGGCCCTGGCCTCCACTACACCATGGCAAGCGAATGGCTCAGTGCCGCTCACGTGAGGTGGCCCATGCAGACGGCGCTCCTAAAACCCAGAGCACCGCGGAGCAGCTCCTTACACGCCCCAGGGGAGAGGCACCAGGCGGCTTGGAGACCTGTCACCCAGGGTCAGAGGAGAGCGCTCACGACAGGGACGTGGTGACCTGCCGCACACCAGGGCGACGAGACCTCGGATCCAAACACTAGGGCTCAGCGCTGGCGGCCTGGCCTTGCTCACAACAAGAGCCTTTATGTTTGACTCAAGGTTAAGTCAGTAACACATCCATTTAATGAAGGGACAGTTCACTCTTCAAAGAAGCCTCCTTGGTAGAGAGGAGGAAACAGTGATTCAACAATGTGTGCAGGAGAGGTGCCCTCGAAGGCGGTGCCTTCTAGATGGAGGGTGGACCCACACAGCGTGTGCCAGAGGGGCCTGGGCATCAGAGGAAGGGGATGGAGCAGAAAGATGGGGCAGGCAGGGGAGGATGGGGTGGGAAGATGGGGCAGGAGGATGGGGCAGGCAGGGGGATGGGGTGGGAAGATGGGGCAGGCAGGGGGATGGGGTGGGAAGATGGGGCAGGCAGGGGGATGGGGTAGGAAGATAGGGCAGGCAGGGGAGGATGGGGCAGGCAGGGGGATGGGGTAGGAAGATGGGGCAGGCAGGGGAGGATGGGGCAGGCAGGGGGATGGGGCAGGTGCAGGGGGGATGGG